TCATATCGCGGTTTTGCCCCGCCCACCCTCCTCTGGTTGGACAAGGTAAGTAGTTTACTTCCACTGTGTAAGCAGTGTGACAGGTGCCGAGGTTGACCCGTGGCTTGGTTGCCATGGTTACCTCTTGCCAGCTAGTTGCCATCGCCTACCGCTTTGCCAGGCACCTACTCTCCATCGTAACGACAAGTTAACGCGATTTAATATAAAGTCATTTCTTATATTATTAATCTCAAAATCCTTACTTGTCAAGATTATAAAGTCCTTTCATTCATGAAATGTATTTGGAAAGAAAAGGTGAATGATAATGAAATAACAAAATTAGAGTGACTTAAAACATGATTTCCTTGCAAAATTTTGTTAAAATAGTGTAGAATTAGTGTAGCAAGATATTTAATTTTATAACAAAGGAAGTTGCCAAGAATGACAATAATTATGAAGAAGTCAAAGGTGGTAACAAAAAAATTCATTGAAAAGACTTACGTAGATGGTCATAGCTAAAGTCCACAGAACCAGGAACAGTGCAGGACAATCTTGCTTTAGTAAAGGAAGTAAATCTTTTCGTTAAAATATATGCTCCTCCAGCATCATACTATGATAAAACAATATGGCGAGAAATCAAATTGCAGTCAATAAATCAAAATATGATCAGCACATTTATCAACCTTGTTTCAAGGCCTTGATCATAAAATTGGTAATGATCAATGATGATTTTGATGATGGTGATGATGATGATAATAATGTACACTCAATCATATATTACATATAATATGACATGCTGGAAGTGGTAAGAGCAAGAGAGATGTTGTAGAAAAACATGAGGCATAGCCAAGGATTTCTATAACTTTTCAAAAATGTCACTGTTTCCTTGTTGTTTATATCACTATACAAGGCAAAAGCAAACGCTTTATATTGCATTTGTAATAATAAAATTCTCTAAATGTTCAAGCTGAGCACATGTTCTGTCCTCTGCTATATAAACATGGCTTTTCAGGCATTTCAACCAATCAGAGAGCTAGTGTGTTAGTATCTCAAATATTTCTAAATTTATAAATTACATCATCATACTTACAGTGCACACTCTTCCAACTCTAGAATAAATATTCTACAAGACAAAAGACAGACAACATTATCATAACTGACTCAGTCTATGAACATTCAGACAGTCATGATTCATTCAGTCATGAATTGCTGTAAAATGACTTACATGATTTTGAGCTTCAATTGCCTTTTCTCTCCAGAAAAAATAAATGAAGTTATCAGAAGCAATATAAGATGAAACAAAATTTGCATCTGGTGAAAAATGGAAAGGATATTTAATTAATATATAAAATCATAATAATAACAACTACCTCATTTTAAAGAAGTAATCAAAAAGCATATCTCAATATTATATTCCTCTTATGCAGAGTATTTGGTCTAAATATCATTGTTAATATAGTGGGACTGCTTAGGACTATAGTTATCGAAGCAACAACAATTACCAATAAAATTAATGATACTTGCTAATAATTTCATGTCTTACAAACAAGAATAAAGTGAAAGGCATTACACTTTATTTTTTTAAAATATGGGTTCCCTGTGTGTAATCAGTAAATGGATGAGTCTCAAGTGTTGTCAATAGCATCCAAGTAATACTTTTACACCAAATATTATAATTTATAAGCAAACCGTTTTTAGGAGAAAAATGTCATGCAGAGATGTTTTGTATTGTTTTAGTAAAATACCCCACAGGATTTGGATTTGAAAACCCTCTCACAGCAGGATATAGTAATATATATTAATTCCATGTTAATGTTAAAAGTTAATTAATGCCAATTCCTGGGTTGATTGACATGTTGACAATGCAGAGTAGCAACAGTAACAAGAAATTAAAGAGACAGCGTAAACAAAACTTTTACTTTTCATGCAAGTATTACAGAAAATAAAAAAATAATAATATGAAGTAATGAAAACTTTTAATTCAACTTTGGAGTTATAGAGGACATCACATGTCCAATTGGTGATATGGATTTTATGGAGTGTTCGAGGTGATATCATATGAGTGAACACTGCGAACGAGTAAGATAATATTCTCAACATGAGAAGATGAATTTCATCTGTACAGTATCTCTGGTCCAAGATGCAGTCAACATGTAGTATTGTGTTTCATACTATTAATATAATTAAAGTTCTCTATTCAGATTTTCTTTGAAATAAATTTTAAACTAAACTAAATATTTGGCATTGCTGCAGGTGCTGAATAAAAATGTTAGCAGAATACAATATTATTTATGGGTGTTTACCCCTTAAGTTTCACGACACAAAAGTGACATTGTATCCAACAGAGGAATTTGGAATTTTGGGGAAGTCAGAGAAAGAACAAAATTACAAAGCTCCTATGAAAGATAAAATGGAATTTGCATGTGTCAAGGGGGAAGGGGGGGGCGTAAAAAAATTTCTCCATGGAGGGGGGGTATGGATAATTTCTGGAATTACACATTATTTGAAAATAATTATAAAATGAAGAAGTCAAAACAGAAATTTTCTGGAAAAATAGACCTTTCCTGAAATTGCCACCAAATGACCACCAAACAATGGTTTGAAGTTGAGACTGAACTTGATTTTTTTATTCATCAAGTCCAACCTTGACTTTATTTTACCATTATTTTGTGACTAGTCAAAATGAATTTGGGAAAGGTATATTCAAGTACAACTTCCTCAAACAAGCAACTGTATTAATAATGAAATTGATAGACTTCTTATCGTTCTTCAATCAGAATAATTAAAAGACTTCAGTTGGATGCTATTACATATGAATTATCAACAATAAGTAAAATGCCTATACCTTTTAAGAAGAGTTCTGAATCATCAGTTTTAAGAAAGTCATTATCAGGGTCAGTTATGGACTTCCTGTAAATGGTACTGGACCTTGTGCCATAGTTAAGGTTGATTCCAGTATATATATACTCTTTATTGGCAAATTGCTCTGTTGATAAAAATGGTCAAAATATTATGTTGATGTTTTATATGTATCATATATCTTTTATATATATTAAATCTTATTTATTATCATTATATTATTATTAACCATCCAATTTGTGTTTTTTTCCTTCTCATCATGCATTATATCAATAAAAGCACTAGTTGGAAGCAAGGGTGTTGTAGTGGTGAGAACACTTGACTCTCACCACTGCGACCTGGGTTCAATCGTTTCATTCGTGAGTTGAGTTAATTTTCTTTTGTTTCTCTTTTGTGCTCCAAGAATTATTTTCTGGGTTCTCCAGTTTTCCTCTCTACAAAAATCAACTTCTAAAAATTCCAATTTGATCATTGAATGTTTTTCTAGGATTTGCATTGGCTGATTATTTTCTTGCACAATGTGATTGGTCAGACAGTGCCGTGACCTTGGTGTGACCACGTCTACATGCAATACTAACACCTCTCTTCATCATCACTTGCTCTCTCCTGTCACATGCAGTTACTGACTACCACTCTAGTTACATTTTTACTGGATTGCTTGCATTGGTTGTCTTTTACTTTGCATCGGTTTTCAATGATCCCATATACATTCAATACAAAATAATTGTCAGGTTGCAAAAACATAGAACCTGAGACCAAAATGGTACACTGGAAATAGGTTAGACTTATAGATGTATCTAGTTATAAATATTATTGCACTGACAGAGAGCATGGAAGCTTTTAACACCTTTCATATTGACTGTGTATCTCAAATGAATACATCAGATGATAACTATGTCATTGCTCAGCATTACATGTACCTTTTGGTCTCAACTATTTTTTCTATGTTTTGAACTGACAATGATTTTGCAATTAAGTGTGTACAGTCCATGTATTAGTCGCAATAATCATGTACTTCATGACCAGCCGGCACTAGTGACGATCAAGCATCGGTCAAATAACGGCCAATAGTCGGCAGACTATCAGCCAACAGTCGGGCGATATTCGGCCGACACGTGTTGGCTGGTCATGAAGTACACTATTACCCTGAGTTACATAAGTGTTATACTAACCAGGTACACCTCCCTGGTTACATTCTAATCAAGACAACTTGGGCTATCTTTGTTTCCCCTCACCTGTCCTATTGTAATATATATATATATATATAAAGTATACAGGTACTAACCAGCTACCACTCCTGTTACATTCTGATCAGGATAACCTGGACTTTGTGTATAACCATTTACTCCATCTTGTGATGTCGGAGAAAAGGGTCCAGTTGGCTAAAAAAATACACAAAATACCAATGAAATAACAAATGGTACAATGTTCAGTAATATATCAGTCAGTCAGTTGGTAAGTTAGTATTTACCTCAAATCTCCAGCATCTTGGATTTCTGGCATAGGTTCCACAGGCAAATATTTTCTTGCTATTATTAAAAACCAGCAGGCGGATGTAGTTATGACAAACCTTTTTTGGTTGTCCACTTGAAAGACACTGCTTAACATTTACATCAGCTGGAGATAGCTTGGCATACTTACAGGAAAAATATTAAAGAAATAAGTCAGACATGATGGTACAAGTCATGGTTAGAGTACTTCCTCTTACCATTCTAGTATGAGATTGATTTGTAAACTTATCTAGACTGTCAAGACTTATCAAGCAGTCCCATTTTTTTCTCCAGACTCAGTAAAGCAAAAGTTTTTAGGGTTCCTGTGCACTTACAAAACAGGGAAAAAATCTCCACTGAGTTCAGAGAGAAAAGAGGGACTGTTAACAGTCTACAACATACCTGGTAACTTGATTTAGCACTTGATAGTGATGGTTCTAATTTAACCAAACAGTCCCTAAGAATAAAAGCATACCAACATAGCATGTATAAACAGCGGTAGATTGAGGAGGAGTTTGGAAGCAGTAGATTGGTGGGTGGGGTTGTTACATGGAAAAGCTAATATGTGCTTCTAGTTTATATCATGTTTAGATTTCATATTAATCTAATCTTTTATTAAGACTCTATTAAGACTCTATTAAGGGGGCTTTAATTTATTAGCAAATATGGGGGGGAAGGGGGGTTTTGCAAAATCATATGGATATAGCCACTTTCTAATAATAATATAACCCTACTAAATTCTCTTTACCCAAACTAGCCTTCTCAGCTTTCTAATGAAAAATCAAAGACTCTGGTAACTCACAAATCAACCATTAATTTGATTGGTTTAAGTTTTTTGCATAATCATCTGTTTCCTATTTGCTGATTTTACAGTCAACAGTTGAAATTTGAATACTTTACCTTACACATCTAGGGTCTCGCTAAATTACTTATTTTTCAGAATATTAATCACAGACAAAAAAAATGGTCCATAAAAACAACGTATAAATAAGCTTGGTTGCTTTTCTTTTGAAGAAAAACATTACAGTTTGAATTTATACTGGAAGTCAGAATAAGTGGAGCATGCACATATCTGATGACCTAGAATATGAGTCTTCCAGTTTGTGCGTTACCAGAGTCTTTGATTTTTTGGTGAGAAGGGTCTGGGTATTAGAATGAACCCCACTACAATTGTGCCAACCCCCCCCCCCCAGGTCCAGGCCCCCAAAAGGGCAAATCAATCCACTCTCTCAGTACTATGCTCAGATACTCAAATACTGTACTCAGCCACATTGCATGATGGTGCTGTATGTATACAAGAAAGATTACCCTTTTTTTTTCACTCCTCCCCCCACCCCTCCTCCCCACTCCCCCCTCCCCAAAAAATATATAAAAAAAGATCTTCTACTATTATTTAGAAACTTAATGAAAACCCTGTTTGTGACATAATATGTGACATATATAATATTATATATATCGACTTGCACTGAATGAATGTGTTGTGTGTATCTGATCTAAATTTTGATGAATCACATTAGACTTATAAACTTACAAGACATCACATCCAATCAGAATGAGGCAATGCCACATTCTCATAATTATATAAAGACATGTATATTTTGCCTGACAATGTACTTGGATGCATCCATATATATATATATATATATATATATATCAACAAATATACATACCTTGCTCCAACAATAACCTTGTCATTTGTTTTATCAATCAGGATTCGTTTAACATCTGATATTGAAATACCCAGTTCTTTGGATGGGAAGCTCTGACATTCTACAATATATTTTTAAATGTTCCATTATTTTATATTTTATTTTCATTCTTCAAATCAGAATGCCTTGGCTGTCCTACCCAATTTTTAACAGGAAATTAAACAAAGTTAAAGTTATTTTTTTATAAGTATTTCAGTTTTATTTCTTTTTATGGATTCCAAATATCTAACTTGCCACAAGTAACAAGATATATAAAAATCATTGGTGTTAAATTATTAGGAATTCCGAATTTATGGTTTGGGGCCTATGTGTTTTTTTCAAAGGATACCAGTCACTTATAAAAAAAACGCATGTTATTGTTTGAATGATGAACTTGATATTAGGACAATAGTTTCTCCAAGGTTGATACAGGATTTCTCAAAGTCAAAAGGATGCTGAATGATATATCACCAAGTATTTACTTTTGGTACCATATAAAGTTAAGAAAATATTTTTTAGACCTGCATTACCTATATAATATGCCATTATGTATACATATATATTTTTTTCTTGCTTCTAACTATCTTAACTTAAAGTGAATATTGTAAATAGATTAATGTTACATAAAGTACTTCCATACATACTTACCAGAGCAGTTATAGTAGGTATATGCATTGACAGGTAAGTATAAGATCAGACAAGCTGTCATCAACACTTGTAATATGCACCTCAGACCACAGCTAGTGTCCATGACTAGATATAGTGTCTGCAAACATGAAATATAGCAATTCAACAGTTAATACTCAAGTTCACATTATATTATTTGCACAATTCATAACTTATTTTAGAAATAACTTATCAACATATGTATTTAAAGAACTCATTTATCATATACCAGTTTTTCTTAGATACGTTTAATCTTATGCCAAAGCATTTCTATCTGGAATTACTTTACATGCATCCAAAAATATATACATAAAAGCTTAAATGAACTTCCCCAATACCCATATTTAGGCATTTTCGTTTTCATCTTTATCACAAAAACAAAAACATGAAAATTTCACCTTCATATTTCCTTGTCCAAAAGGATCTTTCAAATATCACATGTGCATTTATAAATATGACATATGTTTCAGTTCTTTTAAGAACTTGGAAATTACCCTAAGGAAAGTGAAATAGCCATCATCTACCAAACATAATCATGCTTTGACTATAAATTTTAGATGTCAAAATTAATGTGTCTTGTATAAAACTACATAATTTATTATGAATGTATCCACTGGCATATATTTTTGACCCTAATGCATAGCTAACGATAGATTGTCACTGATGCAGCTAGAAATTACCACTACAAGCATGTACATGTAATTACTACGAAAATACTTGGTATCAATTGTAAAGAAAATAAATATAAGCTTATAAAAATAATTACATGCTAAAAAAGGCCAATATTAATATAATTTTGAAAAAAGAAAAAAAATTAGAGCAGTTATTAATACTATTAGCATGCCATGCTTCAAAAGAGTACCACATTTTCTGCTAGATAGTTTTATAATATTCCCTCTATATTTCAAATTATTTTGTAATTAAGGAAAGATTTATAAGCAAAAGTCATTATCGAATAGTTGCAGAAGTCCTCTTAGCCTTCGCGTGTCTAAGTGTGGCAGCTAATTATCGAAGTAGTGCCGAAAAAAATTCATGAACACTCGCCAACAAACGAACGATTTTCTTGATTTAAACAAAAAAATTAAGCTTTTATCAAGTTTTGTTGGATTATAATTAAATCGTATTTATTTGTAAAGAAAAGTAATGAAAAACAATTGCAAACCCTGAGGCTACTGCAATTGTGCAATGAGTGATGCAAAAATGCTTATAAACATACTCTTCAAGGAAATCATTCAAGTTCTTGTTTTAATACTTTAAAAACACGAACTCCAAATCCTTAGAAGCTAGCTTATGTGATAAATCAAAGTTTCACCACTGAATGGAAATACAAATGGAAAATTTAGGTTCCTTTTTTGACGGTAATCAAGGAATAACTAAAGCTTGAAAGCTAGAACCACGAGAACAAATGCTCTATTTTATTTCTAAATAATTTTAGCTACACTTTGGATAGCTTTTGCAAAAAGTCGAGGATTAAAAGCAGGATTTTCTGAGGACGTGTAATGACTGTCCTGGCTGATTTTCAAATGTCCAAAGTTCTTTTGTACTGAGTTGAAAGTTAATTTTACTATCAAATGTTGGAATACAGTTTGTTTACAAAGTTGGACGTATGAGTGACAAGAGTCTAGCAGATGCCATTTCTAAACTTTAAAAACAATATTATATAAAAGGCTTGTAAACCAAGTAAACTGAAATCGTTTTAGGCTAGAGCTACATCATTTCAAGGTCTTTAAAAAAACGATATAAGCTTACATAGCAAATTCAGTTGGGGGTAGTAAGCTTTATATTCCCACAGCGCAAGGCAAAGCTCGTAAATTACCAAGCTTCAAATTTATTTGCACAGCAAAGAAGAGCATTACTGTATCTTGAATTGGAAATAGTTAAAAATAAATTTACTACAGACATTGGGCTATCTAAACAGTTGGTAAAGGCTAGCATTGATATTTTACTTATAAGTTTTAAACGTTATGGTCATTGAAGCTGTATATAGTTTTAAACTGACTAGACAAGCTTTCAGTGGTTTATAGTAACAGGGGCACGAATCTACCAAACTAAACAAAAAACTCGACATATCTCGACAATAAATCATACAAAGTTGTGTTTTTATCTACCTTGTATTTCTTGCTAGTTGGTTGACGGCACGACTCTCCCTCAAATTAGATTCTTGGTTTTGTATGTAAATAAGATAGTGTTGTATAACGAAGGCTGGATTCTCCTTACATCGCACGACGTGAGGTGGTTCGTCGTGTTCTTAACGACAAAAATACTTCAATCTTGAAATAGCCGAAAAAAGTTTTCGAGGAACTCTTATGCAATCCAAAAATATAAAGAAATAGCTCCAACTTAAATAAAACACTCCCCAAATGATAGAAACAATCGTAACGACTAATATTACTTCTTGGTATTCGATTTGTGCTCTCATAAATTCAAATAGTGGTCACGTGACGTGCGCAATGAACCGTATTACGGCGATATAACTTTTCAACGCATTTATATTTGTAGTTGAAAAACGTCAACAAAAAATATGTTTAGAGTTCATCGTAAAATATTGCGTTGAAAAATAATTGGGTTTGTCTTAAAAATATTTAAATTAATATTTTTTATTTTAATATGCGCACAATGCGCGCCCTAGTGATACTTTCTTTAAAAAAAAGCATAATTCGCATGGTTACAAAATTATTTAAAACAATCTTATTTAAGTTGGTGTGTCGAAAACGTATTTATAAAACAACGGCTAAGAATAGAGTGCATTTAGTCTAAAGCGGGAATAGACGTGGACTTCCGGTTATGGTAATTTATAATTCCTTTGACGTTAGCGGGCCTAAGCAAACGGAAGGGCATGAAGCATGATGAACTGACATCTTCATCCGAAACCTTCAAACTAAACATTAATCAAATGTATGAGAAGAAAAACTGGAATAACGTACCTGTTCAGTAATTAGCGAGAGCTATGAAAGAATGTCATCTGGTAACCGGTTTCGCAGGTGTCATGTCCAATTGTTTTGACTCGGAAAACTGTCAGAGAATCCAAATGCAAATTGCAAATGGGTATACGTACGATATGAATATATTTACCACGTCCACCAACGGTCTTTCCGGTTTGAATCAGATGTACGCTCTGAGTATTTACCGCTGCACTATCCGTGCCAAGCTTGCAACACTATTTAGTATCCATTTAGAAACAAACATATATCAATTCAATTAGAAATCTACGAATAACTGAAACAATCACACATATTTAAAATCCAATCCGTCTGTCCTGGCGCCCTTGGAGAATCCATGTGGAACCGTGTGCGATTGATTGTCACAATCACAAGACCGTTGCCGGCCAGAAGGAGTGAATGGGGAGGGGAGGGGTACAACGCACCCCCGTGGTTATCTTCTCGTGTTCGAGAAGCTCTGGACTTACTTGAATACAGCTATCGAGGTTAAAATATTGCATATGCATGAGACATACTTAGTCTTACTCGATGCTTAATTTACATCGGCCTTCTAAACGAATGTTTATAAATAAAGTAATTGTAAAATTATTTCATTTCGGCTGCTTAGTCAAGCTTATTCGAAACTTTAGTGGTCGTTTTCAGTTACGCTATGAAACATTACGAAACTTAAAAGGAATCATTTCATATATTTTGCTTGCATTATTGTTTTTTGTTTCCCTATCTTGCAGTTTCCGTGTGGGCTGAGGTTTTGCACATGATTGCGGCTCATTGTGGCTCAGTTCTGGCTATATAGTGCTGAAGTGTGGTTTTAAGCTTTTAGTTGACGAGCGTTCACCGCAAAGGCAAACTCTAGATGATAAATTTTATTGAAATGAGCCCATTGTATTTTTAAAATGCGATCACGGCTCCAAAAAATATCCACCTTTTCCGCGTATCCAAACCGTGTTAACAGTCCAAGTCACTACTTGTATCCTGGGGTTGATTCAGGATTAGCAGTGGAAGGGTGTCGACTCGGCGGCCTGAAAAGTCGTCAGTGGGTATGTTCCTCCGGATAGTTTGTAAAAATGAAGCTCTCGGAAATCGATATCCAGTCAGCAGATGGGTTTCATCAACATCTTTCCATTTAGCCCCTCCTCCAGAAGCGTTACTTCTGCGATTAGTTTATTTCCTTTATGTAACGCACAACATTCCTATGATATCTGGAAGTGTAAGTTCATTTGTTTTGTCAGTGGGCGTCAATAGTTGTTGCATCATCTGCTATTTCTATCTATTTGAAACCACCTTCTCATACTACTTAAGCTGAATTCATCACTTTTCTTAAAACAATTATGAAATTCAAGAGCTTTCTTAAGAACCGACAAGAGTAGTCTGAGTTTTGTTTTGTATAAATAGTTTACAGTAGCATTAGCCATAGATCATCAACTATCAAAGCGGGTTTTGGATAAAGAAAGCTCTGAAGCTGATCTGGAAGCCGTAATAATTTCGCATAATGTCAAAACAACAACAACAACAAAAACAACAGATGTGGTTAATTTGAATCAATTCACATTTAAAAGATTATTTTTGCTTCTTTTTCAAGTTTTCCCGTCGGAGTAAGCCATTTTGGTTTCGAACTTGATTAGTTGGGCAGAGTTTTACGCATTTTTACCATGTTGCGCTTTGCGGTTTCTTGGTTTTCATATCGTGATGTTAAAAAGTTAAAACGAGAAAAAGTGAACGATAAACTCACAACGGTTCGATCTTCCACTGTCGACTTAGACGCTGACTTAGACGATGTTATGAAGAGCGTACCGAGTCTGAGTAATACGAGCTAACTCCAAACACGCTTGTCTGAAACATATATGGGCCCGGCGTTAGAACGATGGATGGATAGCACTATCAGACAGATATAGATACAGATCTTATCCAGTGGATAAATCTATTGGATATGAATATCGACTATCCACTGGACAAGGATTTATCCCGGATAGCGCTATCCAACCCATGCACGACCGGGTCATGCATATTGTGTATGGCGAATAGGAATCATAATGGAAGTGGCAGTGAAATGCATTGCGGTTCATAATATTTAAAACATCACATATGCAGTGTAATAAATAGACTTTGTAAGGAAACTGTGGAATAGTTCTGGGAGCGGTAGCCAGGGTGTGGTGTGCGCTGATAAACCTGCAATATCACATATGTGGCGGAACCGGATCGACGTAGCCTGATACCGGTTTTTCGCCAGGTTCTCTCCAGTTACTTCTAGCTTGTTCTACAGGCAACTCTCACCTATGGGGTTCCTTTGGAGATTCCGAAGTGAAAGGAGGTCTGGAAAGAAGAAAGATGGCCGCGAGGACATTCACGAGCCCAGAGTCTTCTGCATTTTTTATTTTCAACCGACATTGGTAAAGAAATAGAAAACGCGCGAGCGTGCAGTGTGCAGTTATGCAGCCTCAGCTTTTACGCAGGGAAGGGGGTGCACGTGCCCCTAATGCCCCCCCCCTCCCCCCTCTTGTTATGCCCCCGACTCCTGACATGAAGACAAGTCGAATAAATTTTTTAACGAATTTTTATAGAATATCCGCTTATTTCACTGTGTAAGTGAATAGTTTCTGAGTGTGAATATATGTACATGAAAAAGTCAAATGAAATCAATCAGATCGAATTTACAATGATGCACGTTCCGTTTAGTCTTATTAAACGCACCCCCGACATGGAAAGGAATGAGTGCTTAGCGCTGCCACACGACGGTCCAGCACTCGATGTCTGGAAGTATGGTCCAACTTAAATAAATTAAAAAGTAAAAATCCTAAAATAATGATCCCGGAGCAAATTAACCTTAAAAGGCATCATGAAATCAGGGATGAAGCCAGGGGACATGCAGGTTGGGTGCACAGGGAATAGAAATGAACTATGTCCAAACTAACACACAGCTACCTTGGCGAGTGGTATAACATTCCAAGGATTTGCATAACTAAAAAGAAAGAAAGAAAGAAAAAAAGGCGAATGATCGATCCAATAACCAACCTACAATCTGCAATAGAAACTGAGGGAGGAGGGGGGAATCCAACAATGGGCGAAAAAAAGGGTTTAAAAAATCATACAAAACCTTTCATTCCACCGTTTAGAAAAGGCCAAATGAAAGCTGTAACAAATAGCATTGATGAATTGTCTGAAAATAAGGTTTACTTACTTCAACTAGCATGACTTTGCACGATAGTGCTGGATTTGTTTATTTGTGCGATGATTAGTTCATTAGGAGACAGTAGCCACAAAAAGTTTAAACCGCCGCCCGTCCGTTCTGATGCGCGGGAGGTCTTGGTTCGTGAGTGCCGGTCGGACCAACGCTCAGTGTTTTGAAATAACTGAGGAGAAGGTGCTTCTTGTAATTACATCTACAAATGGTGGCTCGGATGACCAAGTTAACTAAGTGACTGGGCTCTATGTCCCTCAGTCAGACATTTACACACCCATTAAGATCAGCTTCTTTGGTGCCTGTGTTGAGAGCATCCTTCTTAATGGAGCAGAAACGTGAACCATCAATAAGGAACTGGGAAAACGTCTCGATGGCGCTTATACAAAGCTATTGATGTGGGTGCAAAATCTCTCTAGGAATATTATATAAAGGACCGCCCTACTAAATCTTAGATTTATGGGAAAGTCCCTCCTATTTCCGCTGATTATCGTGGTACAAAGAAGAGTCCGCTTCTCAGGCCACTGCAGTGCTTCAGAGCCAACATAATCCCGATGGAGACTCCCGTGCCAGAACAGAGGAACTAGAGCTAGTGTCTCTGAGTACGTTAACGGAAGTCGACTCAGCTTGTCGACTGATGATGATGATGATGATGCGTCCCTAATCGACTAAAGACGTACGTTAAAAGAGGACCACGAGCTTCAGTTAAATTCCTTCCAAGTGTTATACTCTATAAACAAAGTTGGTATCTGCATGCATTGGAACTGATTCATTTTATTCGTTTTATTAACACCGAGCTTTCGACCGTCTCGGCCACCATCAAGGCAAAAGTTGCAATAACAAACAAATTACCTCATCCTCAACCTCATGGTTGCCAGGACGTCCGATCGCGAAGTTCGGTTACTCATAAGAAAAACTGTTTTAACGTAGATGGCCAATAAGTTTTGTTTTTACAGCATATTGTGTCTTTGCCAAGGTTATGTGAACAATTACATTATCCTGTTGTATCAAGGTCAAACGTTTTTTACCTAATGAACGGTTGATTGAAACCCAAGCGGACTTTGTTCCGCAATCATCTTTCGGTTCAACGGGTCTTACCGCTGCGTGTTCAAGGGTAGCCAAAGCCCTCAGAGCCGCTATGCAGACTAGTCCAAGGATCGCCTTTACTCTACCGCAGTTGATGTGGTAGTATCATGATTATAATTTGCTGGAATTTGTACTTAAAAAATTATAGGAGCATTTGCGCGAATAGCAACGTGAAGACCTTTTGGGTAGACTGCGAGTGGTTATTAGCGTAGAACGAAACTTTTTGGACGAATTAAAGGCGGTCAGTTGTTAGTCTCCTCCACAGCCATCATTATTTTCGGTCCAAGATCCTCACAACTAATGACGGCTGCGGAAGAGACTTGTCACTTGTAACTCAAGGACAAAGCTAGCATCTGAATGAAAATCTAACACTGATGTCTTAAATCTCAGATTCTAACCTTGGCAGTGCACTTGTCTGATGTATTTTGACATTGCATTAAGCTATTCCCAATCAATCAATCAATAAATCAATCAAAATCTAGCCTGTCTTAGATTGCGGATATATTAACCTTGGCAATGCGCTGATGCATGTTGAAATTGCAATGGGCATTGTGAACTATTTATAACGAAAAAATATATAAATCTTACATGTCTTAAATTGCCACTCATTCTAACCTTGGCATTGAACTAGTACAGTTTGGCATTGCTATTGGCATACCAGGCTACTAAACTCAATATTCAGGGTTCGTGCTACACCTCCGACACAAAATTCAAGGACTTTTTAAGGACTTTTCAAGGTCCAAATTTATGATTATCAAGAATCAATTTTGCTTGTGAATTTCTTCTGAACAATGCATAGATACAATACGTTATTTTTAGGCTCCATATCATCGACGTAAAATAATGGAAAATAGCATATAAGTTAACAACCTTATTCACGTAAGTAATAAATGGATTTTCAACAAAAATTAGGTTACAGTAGATAATCATAATAAATAAGTAACCGTTGCATTTTCAAGGTGTGTACCAGGAGTATCCAGCAACTTTGCTTTTTTTAAGGGCTTTTCAAGTGCACTTAAAAATGGGTTGTGGATTCCAGGGCTTTTCAAGGATTCCAAGGAGTAGCACGAACCCTGATATTAAACATTGTGCCATTCATCCCGTCACATGCCACGCACATGACTCGTCCCGGTCAATAATTGCAGTTGCCCACGATGAAGAATATCTAAAGACCGGACAAAGATATCTGTCCCGGGATATCTGTGTATGATGTAACCGCATCGAAATGCGGGACATATGTGAAGGAATTTGTAAAAGTGTATAAAGAATTAGATTGAATGCACTGCTCTTGAAATGGTATCTAGGCATAATATTTTCCCCTTTCAGATCGCGTTTCACTCGCTTGAGAATAGACCTAATTCGTCTTGCTCCAATGTTTATCCATTTCAGATCACGTATCATTCCCAGAGAAAAAGATTCCTCGTTTGAGTTGTATCCACATCCATGTGGCTTCTCGTGTGTAACCTTTAAACAAAGAAATGAAATCTTTGGGAATGGCACGTGGTTTGAAATGGGAAAACATTGCACGATTGAATTGTTTTCATGTGTCTTATGATGCGTAACCATTAAACAAAGAAATGATACTCAAGGAAATAACACGTGGTTTTTAATGGTAAAACAGTAGTGGAATAGGTCTATAGCGTCCGACAAAAGAGTCTTCAATTCCGTAAAGATGAAATCGCATAAGATAGATAAAGAGGAAAAAAGTCATGGCATATTTTTAAACATTTATGTGTTATCGGAAATAATACTCGACTGAGTTAAGTAAATTTGACCTTGGCTTCCGCGTTAAAATAGTATAAAGCCGTTCATAATCGGTGCTAACTCTATGTGGCTAGACATTACTGTAACAACCTGGCGACACGCTCGCTCTGATGACAGGCAAATGACATACGAGTACTCGGATAAGATTAAAGTAAAGCTTATTATTTCCAGCATTTGGTTGATATATGCTATGACTATGAAAATAGTTTACTTTACGAAATCGTTATATACACGGGCACGAGTATATTAAATAGTTATTATTCTTTTCTGTCAGTCCTATTATAATCCGTGACTGGGACAGCAAGTTGGATTGGTAAGTCATAAAGTATCCCATGCATTCTATATCAAAACACAAAATAAAAGATGGGTATGCAACGCACGTACACACACAAAAATAGTTGGCAACAAAAAAAAAGGTGGTAAGCAATATATTCACTAATATTTCAACTTTATTCCAAATTTATCAGCAGGGTGCAATGTTCATTACAATAACTAGGCAATGTATGACAATTCTAACATTTCAAAAAGGCGTACGTTTAGCAACGCGTTACCTTGACATTGGCTACAACAGGGTCATATATAACTCTGATGTAGGCTATTGACCTTGGTATTATTTTGATTCGATGATTAACACCGGAGCTATTGTATAGTTTTCTGATAAACATGTGAGGCCTGTCTACACTTTTGGTATAAATAGCGAACAATTATTTAGAAGAAGCATAATCCAAAAGCACAAGTAACACGCACATAGAAACCTCTATCATTGCAGAATGGATTACGATCAGTACATTTGTTTCTCATACTTGCTTCATCCAATCATGTGCACTGTGTTGGTGGCACTGTTAATGTACCTATTTTGGTCTAAACTGGTAAGACTCAACGAATTACCGGAGGAAACCCTCAGAGATCCACCTGGACCATTTGCGCTCCCCATTGTAGGAAACATTTCACTGTTAGGAAGTCAACCACATTTAAACCTAACCCATCTAGCTGATTTATATGGAGAAATCTATAGTCTGCGCCTTGGTAGCAGAAAAGTGGTAGTCCTGAATTCTGTGAAAATGGCTCAAGAGGTGCTGGTCAAAAATGCTCGTCATTTCTCAGATCGCCCTCCTCTGCAAAGTTTCCAGGTCAACAGTAACAACGGACAGAGCATTTCTTTTGGTAACGCTGGCCAGTGGTACTGCTACCATAAGAGGTTTGCTTCAAGAGCCCTTACCAAGATGTATGAAAACGGAGAAAGATTTGATCAAATAGCAAGTGATGAAATAATGCATCTAAAGTATCTCTTAGGACTTGACCAATCAAACGAACCGATTGACCCAACGTCTTTAATGAAAGAATTGGTGTTTAAGTTTTCCTTCAGGATCCTGTTTGGCGACGATCTTGCAGGAATGTTTGCGGAAGACTTCTATCATATCGTTGGACAGTCTGCGACTTTTGTAGAAAACAATTCTGCTGTCAATCTTGTGGATTTCTTTCCATGGTTAGCAGCTTTGTTCAAGAACCAGACGAGAAAAATTAAACTTTCTGTGGACCAATTGATGGATTCTGTAAAGCGTATTTACCAGGGACATACTACTAGAGGTGACAACAACATTCACTCTTGTATCACAGAGGCACTTAAAGGTGAGGCGCTCACTGAGCAAACTCTTAGTGAAGACAGCATGGTGCAAATACTAGCTGACCTTTTTGGTGCAGGACTTGAGACAGTGTCGACATCCATGATATGGGCTGTAGCATTTTTAGCAAGCAATAAATCACTTCAAGAACAGCTGTATGACGAGCTTAAAGGTGCAATTGGTAAGACAAGCAACCGTTCTCCGAGTTTGGAAGATAAGTCTAAAATGCCTCTCCTACAAGCAATAGTGCTGGAGGTACTACGCATGTCCTCTGTGTTACCCCTTGGTCTACCACATTACTGCAGTCAAGATGCGGTGATAAGTGGCTATAGAATTGACAAAGGAACACTTGTGTTGCTTAATCTATGGGCTATCAACCACGACCCCAACAGCTTCGAAAGGCCAAACAGTTTTAACCCCTACCGCTTTCTAGATCCAGTAACACACCAGTTGGTTAACGATGATTGGATGCTAGCACTTCCATTTTCGATCGGCACGAGAAAATGTCTCGGATCAACTGTGGCAAAATCCGAGTTGTTTCTTCTTATGGCAGGGCTATTGCACAACTTCTCGTTCGAGATGGCGGGAGAAAGTGCTGATTTGAATGGAACATTTGGTCTAACTTTAAGACCACGCCCTTTCTCTGTGTACATCCACAAGAGATTTTAACTTAGAGTTGAGTGAAACGTAAGGTAGAAAACAGAAACAAAAAGAATCGAAAGTAACATGTTTCCATCTTTTAATAGGTCATCCCCAAAAAAATATTCTATCACTCGTTTCTTATAAAAACACTTAAGAATTATATAGGCTACAAAAATATTAGTTAAGTAATTTTTAACGCTGTCCATAGGTAAGGAAAAAAGACGATCATGTTTTTAGAGTTTACTCTATTACTTAAAATAGTTAGTTTAAAAAAATAATACTTAATAATTATTTTAAATTTCAAAAACGAATAAAGCAATATTTCATTGCCACTGAAAGTGTTTTCTTAAAGCTATTGCCAAGTCTACTATAGGGTAATCAAAGAATGGGATCAGTTTACTCACTTTTTCACTCTTCTATTTTCTCGCGAAGCTGCGCAATACTAGTTTCCAGTTTACAAGCTTCCTCGTTCCAATGCCTGCTCCTTCCCAAAGCCTCTTGCAGCTGCCGCTGGAGTCGAGTAAGCTGTGCATGATTGCGCTTCTGGTGGTAAATGAAAACAATTGCTCATGGTAAAAAAAGCAAATATACTTGGTGTTTAAAGCATGACATTAGTGTAAAGTAAAGTAAAGACAATTTTTAGCTAAAAAGACTCTTTGACGTCCGTATTTGACCCGCAGTTCTGTTCTAGTTAAGTTTTTTCCAATTCTTTTCTTGCTGAACACTATTATAGGTACCTTTATTATTCCGCGCAAGCATCATACAACTCTAGTGTTTCGCATAGATGGCATTTTGATAAACCTTTCTAGTAGAAGTACAGGTGAGTTGAGGTGGTCCCCTTAGCGATCAGCGGTCAATATCGCTGGCTCAGAGACCGGAATCGGATGGTTCCGATTTCTGAGCCCGCAATATTGACCGCTGAACGCTAAGGGGACCACCTCAACTCAATACTCTCGAAGTTGCGCACTTATCCAAATTACTCAAGACACCTTGCTTTTTTTATTCCTTTCTTTATTTGTTTCTCCGTTTCTTTCTTTCTTTCTTTGGGGCTATTTTCCAGTTAAGATGCAAAAATGTTTAAAAAATGAAAATTGGTTGGACGATATCTCTTAACCCTTGGTTTTTAACTTCAAGAGTTGATGCGCTAAACCTCGAAAGAGAAGGACCATTTCCACACGCACTTACTTGTAAAAGATGTATCTCTTTTTTCAGCTGTGCTTGACGCTCATCTTCACTTTTTATCTGCCAGAATAACAAGCCGACAAAAAACTGTAAATAAAGCATTTCTCAATATACGTCCTTAGTCACCTTGTGAGTGAACTTTTCTCGATAAAAAGAAAATTAGCACGTTTCCCTCACTTCAAGCACTTTTATAATAGCTGACAGGCACGAGAAAATAGAAAGTGGACTAGAAAGTGTCTACCTGGAGCTTTATATGTTCCATCTCTTTCTCCATTTCTTTTCTTGTCTGCTTCAAATGGGAAATTTCTGTTTTGAGTATTTCATATTCTTCAGCGATCCCAACAGTGTCTTGATGCTGTCCATTTCTGAAAAAAATAACTGCAAGCCAAAAACGCATTTCATAAGATTAGTATATTAGTATATGTAGTACAACGCCTACGAATATTAGAAAAAAGAACCTGTGAAATAGGAATAGCTGAGGCCACTCTACCTCAGAGAAAGACTCTATATATTACCGAATCAATTTAAGAAACAAAAAAACGGTGTTTATTAGCCTGCGCTTTGACTATCCAAAGGCAGACAGCGCCGAGATGTCCATTGAGATGGTATGGATGGGGAAACTTCAAAAGGAGTACCCACTACTGTACAACATAGGATTATTGAAAAGGAAGTACAAAATTATTAGGTACTGAAAAATCCCCTCTATTTCCGTTGATGATGCTTACTTTCTTCTTTGAGTTTTTTAGTTTCTTTCTCCAGGCTTGATATTTCTTTCCTAATGTCACTACTTGACTCGTATTCTTCAACAAGTAAGCGATGTGCATCCATTTTATTGAAATATTCGTTAAATTTGCTACAGATTAAAGTGAAAAATAGAACATTCAATCGAATATATTTAAACACTTAATTGACCACACTTCAAAGGAGCACGTACCCTTTGTCGTTGTCCAGTTGTTGCCGCTCGCTTTTTATTTGACAGGTTAGTGTTCTTTGTAAAGCTATAAGTTTTTCAATGTCTGTAAAAAGAATAAGGTACAAAGTGAAATATAGGGCTAAAAGTAACGTAAAATGTTAAAACGTTTTAAACGTTATCTTAATGGATAGATGAATGGATGGATAGATAAATGGATAAAAGAAAGAGAAGAAGAAAGAAAGAAAGAAAGAAAGANGAAAGAAAGAAAGAAAGAAAGAAAGAAAGAAAGAAAGGAAGAAAGAAAGAGGGAAAGAAAGAAAGAAATGAAGGAATAATTACAATGTAAGGAAGAAAGGAAGGAATATAAAAGAAAAGAGGATATAAACAAAAATCATAAAAGAAATAAATATCAGCTAGAATGAAAAGAAAGCATTAGATAGAGATGAGAAAAAAGAAAAAGGTCAATAAATTGAACAGACATTAAATGGAAATTTAAAAAAAAACCACGTTAAATTAAATTAATGAATTATTTAATCAATAAATAATCGAATAATGAATGGATTAATGAGGGTCTTGAAGAGGTAAAATGGAACTTAGGCGTAAGATTCACCTTTTTTTGGCTGGAAAATTGGAATTCACCCCCCCCCCCTGTGAATGGGATTCACAAACGAAAACACAATCATAAAATGGGAATGGGATTGAGATTTGAGCAAAACAAAGGCTGGGACTTTTTGAGACTATTGGACTTGGTCAAAATGAGAGCTGGGAAATGGGATTGGGACACCCCCTTCAGTACCCTCATCAATAGAATCAAGGAACGAATGCCATCTTTACAGAATCAATGAAAAGATGTCAAATGAATATTGAAAACTAGATGAGAAGATAGGAACAAGAAATGGAGAATGAACAACTAACTAGTACAAGTTCTTTACCCTTTTGCTCTACTTTGCATTTGTTTTGGCAGGCAATGACCTCTTCTTCCGTTACACAGACTTTTCTAGCCAAACTAGATATTTCTGCTCTAACCATTTCGATCTTCTCTTGAACTTTTAAACAAAAGTATAAAACAAACCATTGATGAGAATAAGTGTTTATAAGCTAATATAATAAAACGAGTAGTTCGTGGTCAATTTAAACTTTAGTAACTCAACGAACTCGAATAAACTCAGTTTTTTAAAGCATCTATAACGCAAAATATCTCACATTAAAATCCAAATTTCACTTACCTTTAAGATAATTTTTCTTCCATAAGCAGATTCAATATTAAAGGTATGAAAATGTGAAAAGGAGATAGAATTCGTCAAAACAATAAAAGTTAAGGTCAAGTTTTCTCAAGAGGAAAAAATACCAATCTCGTAAACTTGCTACCTTTAATCCAATCAAAACTTCTTGCCTATTGGTTATTTCAAGTGCTTGTAGTTTCTGAGCATCCGCTACTTCGCCTGCTAATGCTGGAAGAGAGAATTCACTCTCTTCATCTTTCTCTTCGTTGTGCACGCCCTTTTTATCTTGGTTTGGTTGGCACACTGTAAATTTTGAAGAATCAAGTCCAATGATTCTTGTGAGTTTCGGAGGGCTATGGGTATTCATTTCTGGTGAATTTATTTCCCATTCCATGGTACAAGCTATTTATTTTGCTTGCAAATTATTTGAAGATAAAACACGACACTCGAGCTCGTTTCTTGTTCTGGAGGAAGTTCGTTTTAGACGTTTTGCCAAATAACACGGCGGACTTCCGATTTTCCCGCCAAAAATAACGCGCGCGTGCAACTTGTAAGAAATGGCGGGAAAACGAAGAAACTAATAAAAAAAACCCTGGAGACCTGGAGAAAACACAGGCAGCCCAAGCTCTGTGCGTGTATAAAGAATGATGGGGATTTTTTTTGAATCGTATTTTATATAGAAATATATATGAGAATAACATTCACTAACCTTAGTTTGACGTTTGTTTATCAGTACTTTTTTTATGATTATGCTCAATTTCAGGCGATTTGGATGGGTTTTTCTTCATTTTATCCATCCCCTTAGAATTAATTATTAGAATAATTATTATGCTCTCTTGACCCCAACATGTTTCCAACCCGCGTCACGATATGCATATACTATAAAAATGGTCTATTATAATAACGAAGTTTCTCTGCCATAGTAAAATCTTTATTTAGCGATCTTAAAAAGATATCTTGGGTTATCGTACTATAACGCCAAATGTACCTTTGCATTCACTATTTCAAAAAACGTTGTCGGTCGGAGATCAATTGGCGATCTGAACCACCTAAAACGGAATTTTCGTGCTCTTATTTTTTCTGGCTAAACGAATACGAAAAATCAAATTTCTAACTCCATGTTCATGCTTCATATTCCAACGTAAAAGGAAACTACGTTCCAGATTTAAGATTTCACCGGATCTCCAACCAACGTTTTTCGAAATTGGTTACGTCTCTTTAGAACGTTTCAGCTACATATCATACTGATCATTGTTTGTTTTGAAAATAAACGATAGCAAGTTATAGAGCAAGTATTTGTTTCGATGTAAATATATTTGTGTACACTTCAGTTTTCAGCAGATTGATTTCTCTCTCTTGTTTATCCCAGTGGAATCATCCATCCAGGCCTCATATACTATGAGTAACAAATGCTCGACCAATAAAGATCATGGTTTTATGAAAGAAATGGAAAATTTAGATTTCCATAAATTGAAATTCGATCTAAAATCTTTAATTTTGTTTTTCATTAAATGAAATTTAAATTTTCTTTCAATTTTTCTTTAATTGAAATTAGCTATCTACTTCTCATGGTCCTCATGGCTCAAGGTTAACAAGCTTCGATGAAATTGAATTTACAAAGCGCTGAAATAAACTTGTTGCCTTCAATTAATTGGAAAATAATTTCTGATCACAAAATAAGATGTACATTTAATTATTTTGTCATTCCTATAACGTTGCAGGAGATGACTATATTGCAATGTCCTTGTCTTTATATGCTGCTTGGCAAAGCGAAGAAATCTTGCGAAGAAACTTTGGGTATTCTCTCTTAGAAAGAGCTCGAACAACGGATGGCGGTGCCCATCCACCTGGGTTAACTGATAAAAAAAAAAAAAAAAAAAAAAAAAAAAAGAAAAAAAAAAAGACACTTAGACAAAAGACAGTTAGAAAATGTCTAAATTTACATCATAAAATAGTAGCAAAAAGTAAGATAGTTCACTATCTCAAATGGAATGGGGGATGTATTTGAGTTACCATTACTTACCATTAGCACTGTAAGTAATTTTACAAGATATATGGTCACGTGACAATGGCTGTCCCTCTTCTCTGGGCTCAATTAGAGTTTGACAGAACATTGCTACATTACATGTGACTCGGACATATTTGTTTATCTGCAGAGAAAAGATAAAGTAAATTCAATGGATAATAATGAGCAAACTCGTTAAAAATCAATCACAGACAAAAGAAAGTTAGACTGAAGTCTGCACTTGGTCGCCCTCTCTATTTTCGTTTATACTCTGATCATCACTAAAAAGCATCAAAAATTATATAGATTTAGAAAATACACCTAAGCGTGTAGAAGCCCCTTTTTTAACGATCTGAATATGTTTTTTYCCCATTTGCGACAACTTGTCATTCCCTTGGGTATTCTTTACTTTGTTTACCATTAATTACTGCTTGAGCAGATACGTTAATATCATGCAACGGAAACAATTACTCTTATTCTTACAACCGTTCTATCTAAAAGCAAAATGTACAATTTGCAGTCGCACCAAAAAATATTATTTTGGTAGACATCAATCAAAGTGTTTCCATGACATTTTCAAAGACCCAAAGCTTTCAAGGGCAAGTGGAACATCATGGAAATGCCATAATGGATGCCCCTTGATTTCTACTTCGTTTGGACGACGGTTCCGCGCGCGAAATTGAGAATGACTGTAAGGTCCCGTCCACACGTATCCGGAAATTTTTATATCCGCAAATTTTTTTTTTGCGGATACGAAATGTTCGCGTCCACACGCAGCGTATTCGAATCGTTTTCGAATCGTTTTCACTGTCCACACGTATCCGGAAATTTCATGATCCACCCTAATACACGCAAGTGCCTAGTCCCTTTGACGGATAGTTTTTTTTATTGAGCATGCGCAAAATCGTGTTTACGTCATCGTATTCGAAAATTTGCGGATACGACCGTCCACACGTATCCGCATTCGGAGCGTATTCGAAAATTTCCGGACACGTGTGGACGCAACCCGTATCCGCAAAAAAAAAAAAAAAATGCGGATACAAAAATTTCCGGATACGTGTGGACGGGGCCTTTAAGAAAACGATTTAAGGTCTGAAATGAGAAAGAATGATAAGGTCTATTCCTCAAATATTTCTATTACATTCAAATGGCTTACCGGGGCATCAGGATGATCCACAGAAAAATTAGTTACCAGCCATGCATATCCAACTTCATTGTCTAATCTATCCCCTTCATTCTCAGGGGCTATATCTTGTATGTGAGAACAAAACACAAAGTCACGCTGGGATGATGGCCAAATGCGCTTGAGTATTTGATGAAATATTAACGTGCTGTCAGATAATTTCTCCAGTATATCGAAATATTCAATAGTGGCTGAAAGACAAGAAATAACAAGCAATTATTTTGGTTGAGAATTGGATGAGATGTAGTGTAAGCCATTATTAATGGGTTGCAAGCATTCCCAARAGAGTTAAAAGACAAAAACATGGCGGCCATTGTGGTACCGTTAACGATGGATGCTAATGAGAAATCTTTTGTTAAATGGTACCTACATGGCCGCGATGACGTAACGTACAAACGAAGAATATGCCAAGTGCTTTATGCGTGATGCATGTTATCCTTGACCATTGTATTTATGTTTGGCTTATTAGTGCATTGGTGCATTGGTGTTAGATCCATCATTTGCTTTAGCTGTCAGTAAGTAAGGTTGAGGGTTCAATCTCTAACAAAACTTTTGCTCATGATTTTAAAATAATAATTTTTCGATTGCACGTTACGTCATCGCGGCCTCTCGGGGGAGCTTTGGTGCCATTTGGTGCCACAAAAGATTTCTTATTAGCATCCATTGTTAACGGCACCACAATGGCTGCCATGGTTTTGTCTTTTAACTTTCTTGGAAATGCTTGCAACTTATCAATTGAGGTGTACGTCGCCTTAGCTTTAAAAGTATCTGCAAAGTACTAGAGCTCAATCGGACAACGAATTACAAGATGGCCCGACCTCATTTAAAAACGCTAACCATTGCATGCATTTGTCAAGAGTCATCCTCTAAAAACAGACTAGTTTTTATAATCTAAGTACACATTTAAAGAAGACTTACAATCAAATTCCATTCTAACGTCTTTGTCAAAGAAGTAGTGAGCCATTTCACGGCCAGTTACTCCCTGTAAATTTAAAAAAGTTAAATGAGATTGTGAATTACCAAACTTTTTTTAGGGAGTACTAGTTTAAGTGCCTTTCTGTAGCCTTCCTGCAGTCTCATATCTAGCCTGCAGCCTTATTGTTAAAAACGGAGTATTGGGCAGCCTGCATGCAGGCTACTTTGCCTGTCTATAAAAATCCCCTTGTAATCAAGACAGAGATCAAACTCACCTGAATAATATGAGTTGCCTTCATTGGATCAAGTATGATTCCACCCTCTTCATATTCTCTGCGATAAACCTAACATAGAGACAGAGAAGTAGTATAAGCAATAATATAAGATATCCTTCCACCTGTGAACAAGGACAAAAAGCGCCTTTCTGAATGGGATGGGATGAAACATGCTTTTTGGGAAGAGACTTTGGGCAAACAAGCGGTTGACTGAGAGGCAACTAGCAGATAATAAGTCAAAACATGTCAAAATAAGTCCTCAAACTATTGTATTAATTTGACTATTTCTATGACAAGAAACCAAAAAAGCCATTAAAAACGAAGCTATAACCAGAAGTGATGTCTATTGATAGCAACCTATTCAATGACCATGCTCAACGATCTCTTCCTTCCGTATACTTCAAATATTTCAGTGAACTTTCTTTGACCAAGATTACAATAGTTGAGCCAGTAAAGAGATTTTCGTTTTGTTTCAAGAATCATACAAAGGAGGCTAGCTATCAGGTAGATACAATGCTTGTTGTCTCATTTGCATTTCATTTGCATAGCATAGATCCATAATAATCTGCTATTACCTTCATTTCACCATCTTCGTGTACCAGATACCAGTTTTCATCCACACATTCCTTAATTATGCTAAGATTTTCTTCCACTTTTGCTTGCACCTGAAGGTAATTTGATAATATAAATTAATCATCAAATATTTTTGGATAAGATATTTGTTGGTGAATAATCAATGGATTTATTATTATACCATTACTTTTAGCTCCAACATCTTGCATTATAATTATAATAATACGCAATCTGCTTGCACTTTGAAGTTTAGATGTTTTTTGATGAATATACTGACCTCATTAGTCATGCAATGGGGTGGATCTTTTATCGTCATTGGTGGCTCAGGAATGTCAATTGTACATGTCCTTCTCTTACTTTCCTAATATTAAGAAAAGAAAACGGCAAGTCATATATATATAATTACCTATTATATGCTAGTCCAATAATACAAATAAGTGTAATTTGTAACAAATATTTTAATTTAAAGTGTAGTTTTCATCTAAGCTGTTTGATTCAACACAATCAAATTCAATGTAACAGCACTTACTATTTCATCTTGTTCCTCTTGTTTTTCAAGGCCAATCTCCATAGCATCATAGAATTCTTCCTCATTCAAAGCACAGTGAGGCCCTTCCTTCAAGATATTAGGATAATAATAATGTTAAAGAATGCCATCAGCATGGCTGCAAAAATGAGCAATTGGTGCCATAAACCAGAAAAGGGGGGAAAGACTTGTTCTCTGGTTACCACCATACAAACAGAGCCCCCCCAAAAAAGTAAAAAAGTACCAAGGTAACTATTTGATGACAGATAGTTAAGAGGCTAACCTCAAAGTCTGGTCCTCCAATGAATGCCTGTTTTCTTGCAGATGCCAGAGAGTTTTTGGCAGCCTCTTCTGCTTTCTTGCGCTTCTCAATTTCCTGTTTAGAGGAGAACATCAAAAAATCTTATTAACAATAATGTACATATTTTCCATTATCCACTGATATCTTCTTGCTCTTTCTTCTGTGGGTTGCTCATTTATTATTTTGTTTCCATTAACTTTAGGATGGACTTCAGCTTTTAGAAAAGAAGAGTGGGCTCTGCTAAGTTGTATGAACCAGTTTCAATCAAACAATTTCAACTATGGGTTAACTTGAAACACTATTATATATTCATGGGTTGTGAAAGGGGTGGGGCAATCTTTCCAATCTTAGCCCCCCACTTTTTCCCATACTAGCCTCAATCTTAGCCCCTTCTCCCTTTTTAGGTTGCTCTGCGGCCCCTGATATTCGACTGCTCTTGGTAGAGGTATTTCTTGGTATACTCGAAAGTATCCTCTGCCCTCTCTGGGGTAGGCAAGGGAAGAATTTTTCTGGGCAGCATCATTGAGATTTTACCTTTTCTAGTCTTCTATGCCAGTAATCTTCTCTTTTTGTCATGATTTCAATGCAGTGAGCAAGAGTTGCCAATATGCCTGCTGTTGTAGCCTTGAATGTTATTGCTTCACCTCGAAAATCGATTCCCTTTGCTAATGACTCCAGAGTACTGTTAACTTTGCCTTGTTGGCTAAGTTTCTCTGCTATATATGAAGGGGTGGGGGTCTTGGACAATTCATCCATTTCATCATCCGCATCATGGTCCACTGAAATAAAGACAACTGATCATTAGTTTTGTTTAGAAGGACCTAAAGTGATATGAACACATATTTTGACCAACATTTGTGGAAATGTAGTGGATTTTTGTTGTCGAGCAGAAAAATGAAATGAAAACACCTTGATACAGTATCATCATGCTAGATTTGAGTTTGCCCTAACCTTTAGTTTTCCATATACCTATTTCAAAAACTTTTGGAGATCTGAAATCTGAAATCTAGTAGCATGCTGCAAATTGTAATTAAAAATTCTGTTCAGTCTCAGATTGTCCATTTGAGATCTCGAGTGGACAAATTTTTTGAAATAGGTTTACATGTATATAGAAGGACCTAAAGTAACTACCAAACCTTTGATATAGAGAGATTTAAACATTTGGGGAAAATAGAGGAGATTTATGACAACCATGTTCTAGTTCAATCTATGTTCAGGAAAAATGCAATGTGTCTGCATTAAAAGTGGTTTCATTTGTTAAGAGAGAAATTTCCGACTGTCTTGCCTCAAGAGAAGTCACTGTCATGAAACCCCTGTACAGGGGAAATGAAACTTGGTATATAGGACAGGACAGTGTTTTCTTTTTCTAAATCTTAAATATTTACATGCTTCATTGCTGCCAAACATTTCATCATTCTCCCTGATGTCATTGTTGTGAACTTGTGAGCCATTCATAACTTCGGAACATGCATCAAAATATGTTTGTAGAGTATCAATCTGTCGACCAACTATGTCTTTGAAGGTTTCAAGCTCCAACAGCTTCTCTCGTAAACCCCTAGTTTTCTGTAAGGAAAGCAAGTCGACAAAAATCTTCCTTCAGTAAAAGTCAGTAAAAACCAATGCAATATTAACCATGCAGAGAGGCAAAAGTCTATCCCATCTTACATCTTAAAGTTTAAGGTTTGGGAGTAGCTAGTCAATAATTTCTGGGATACCTAATACTTATTTGTAGGAAAGATAATAAAGATTTTTATTTCATATGCATTTATCTTTTTTAAATGTTTCTCTGGGGGTTCAAAGCACTTTAGAGTTCCCTAATAGCAAGTGATTTATGTTGATCAGCTGTTGTGAAGATCATGTGACAATGCAACCAATACCCTTCCACTGGGATGCCAAGCTGTCGTCGGATCTCAACCAAATACACGATTTAAACTTCTAGAACCCTACAACATAGCCAATATACTTAAGAGGAATAGTCCACACAAACAGTTTTAATATCAAAAATCCATTTCAAAGTAGGAATTTTTTGCTTTATCTCCATGGTCATTTAATATGGTGTATGGAATGTATCAAGACATTGAAAGGTGACAAAACCGATTCGAATCTCTTAGGTTTTAATTGGTGTCAAAAGAAGTGTAATAGGAGAATAGGGCTTTTCTTTTTGCATAAGACTTTGGCTTTTTGATGGGTGATTCCCGGTTTCAGTATCTGGCATATTTATTCTGGATTGCAGATTTCAGATTCTGGTCATAGAGCAACCTGCACCACCTTCTACAAATAGCCTCTTAACATATGAACTATTTTTTGTTTCTTGCAGACACAAGAGATAATAGTATGGTGAGAAAATTCTGAATTCCAGTTATTAGGCCAACCCACCAGCCAACCCCTTCTATGAATAATGAAAGCCTCTTAGCATACATTTATCGTTTATTGCAGAGACAAGAGGTGATCGTAAGACATAGGATGACAAAAACTTTAAATGAAGAATAGACCTCTTTAGTTTGGGCAAAATGTTTTCCCATTTCAGACCATGTGTCATTCCAAAGAGTATTGTTCTTTGTTTAAAGGTTGGGCATGAGAAGGTACTTGAATATGGATACAACTCCAACAAAGAATATTTTATTCTCTAAGGAATGACATGTGGTCTGAAATGAGAAAATATTATGCCCAAGGTAAAGAGGTCAATTATGTCTGAATGCAATTGCAACCAATGAACCAATAATAATCCAAGTGGTTATGATGTAATCTCGCACAAATGTTTTTGGTTTCTATTAATTTTTTATCATACCTTAAAAGAAGATGTAGATGTTGTTCCCAGGCTTGTGACAGAAGACAATGACAGCATAGAACCACCTTTTCTAAGGCTTGTTTCTGATCCATAGCCAGATTCTGCTGCCTAGAAAAACATTGATAAACAGTACATTCAATATTCCACATACTCCATGTTGTGATTATGTGGAACACATCCTTGCATTATTTGGAAATTTCTTCAAAATCAAACAGTATTATTAAATTTCAAAATCAATAAAAACAAATATATAAATAAACAAAAAGTAAAAGAAATGCAATGCACCATTGGAAAAGGACCACTGTGTTTTGTGAGGAAATCTGTTCTATGATGCATCCATTACCTTGATAGCTTCCAGGGCATCAACCCATTTCTGTCTTGACTCTGGGTCTTTTGTTCTCAGGTAATACATACAGTCATTGACACTGACATCAAATCGGCAATCATCATACTCATGATTCTGAAAATGAGTCATATCGCAGTCATATTGTTTTACACACAAAGTTTAGTATCTCGCGCTTGGCTCAGTTGGCAGGGTACTGGACTATTCTTTGTTTGCAATAGACGTCATAGCTGCCGTGTTGGAAGAATTTGATAAAAGATTTTTCAATGAACTCTTTTGTTATATCTTCCAACATGGCGGACATCCCTTTTGTCATTGTGCTCTCTTGGGATTGATTGCAAACCAAGAATAGCACTAGTTTGTGCTTAGAAACATAAGAATCGTGGCGTTGATTTGCCAACCATTATCACAATACTTTTTGACAAGTTGCTTTCTTTCATCAGTGAATCCATCTGATTGGCATTATAGTGCAAAAATTTATGGGTTCAAACCTTAGCCTCACCAACACTCAGGGTCTTAAAGTATCTGAATAGGTGCTGCCTTTGATCTAAAAAATATCTGAAAATCTTTAAACCTTTGCAATAGGTTGGCTATGACATCAAATCTCTTCATTTGGTAAACTAAAAGCTATTGTCATCAGGTGGTTAGGTTAGAGATTTCCACCAACTTATTATACTTTGAAGAACTTCAATGTCAAATTATTTATACTTTGAAGTGCTTCAACGTCAAATATACGCACATTAAAATTAATTAAGGTATCCTGCCAAAAATTTATTCGAGAAAGTTCACTCGTAAATCTAATGAACTGTAAAATTTGAACTTTTAAATTATTTGCTAAAAAATTACGAAATCAAAATTAAAAGGCTAAAATTTAAATTAATAGATTGAAAAAGTACAAATAGTTTGTTCAAGTTTTATATCATTTAAAACGATATTTTGAAAAAATGTTGATGTGTTTGAGAATCTTGTGGAAAAACAAAACGTAATATCGGTCGATAATCTGTAAAATAAAGTTTTGTTTTGTAAACTAATGTCGCAAAGATGACATGATTTCATAACATTACGAAGACTATAAAATTTCAGCGATAAAAATTTTCTAAGGGGTTAGTTTTTCTAAGATACAAGTTAAATATGATGTAATCAATAGGAAACATCTGTTTTTATTGTGATTTTGAAAGCTTGTTTTCAAGACGTTCACCAACTTTGGGAGACAAGAACTATGCACGTACAAAAACAACGCATAGAATCTCCTACGTGAAAATTAATACGAGGTTCAAATAGCTAAAACAAAAACAAATAATAAAGTCCATATAAATGGATATTAGCCTATTCATGAAACTAATAGAATGTAAATAAGCTTACATGTAGAAGACGCAATGGTATCAGACTTAATTTCAGCTTATTTGTGTTTTGTGGAAGCAAGAATCACAAGGCTTACCTCGATAGTTGCCTTAGCTAGACTGATAGAACCACGGCAACCAAACGCAGTATCGAACTCAGATTTGTAATAGGACAAAGTACCGTCTCTTAAAACTACCCATCTTTCTTGCCATCCATGTAAATAGTTGGTCCATTTGGAAAGATACCCATGCATAGTAGGGACACTAGGGACAGATGTATCCAATCCTTCCTCCTCATCTTCTTCGCTTAAACTCGGCGTATGGTCCCCAGACATTTTCCAAACTGAAGTTCAATCAACAGGCTTAGTTTCAGTATTATTTTTAAGTCGTGTAGAGTGGCTTGTCTGGGCAGAAAAGTGCTGTTATTTTTTGGTTTTCCTTCCCGGCTCCACCTCCCAGTCATCCGCCATCGTTATGGTAATTTTCACATGTGTACCACGTGATTGTAATGGACTGGGCGTTCACGTCTACATTTAACCAAAGGAAACCCATTCATCTTGATTCACTGCTCCCAGTTTACTCCGGTTGACCGGATTACGAGACGAAAAACGAGTACGAAAAATAGCAAGAAAATAAAAAAAAAAAAAAAAAAAAAAAAAAAAAAAAAAATCAATAATTTTGTCTCTTTAATATTTTAAAGCCCGCCAGTGTTTTTAGCATGCAAACGTTTAGCATCTTCTTTGAATTACATAGGATTCCTTGAAACCTTTGGTTGAAAAGCCAGTCGTTGGACACCTGACCATTTTTTTTTTTGCGGCTAAGACTGAAGTGCCTTATACAGGAAAATAGCAAAATATAGAGCGTGATTCGTGAATTCCAGATTTACTCTCGAATTGGGCTTGATTCGTGAATGATTGATTTGATTTCGTAAAATTATAATTTTAATCATACACTTTTTGTAATCACTACCAAATCCTGCAATCTGATTGGTTCAAAGGATTGGGATTAATTCCCAAATCGCATCCTTAGGAGCTCTTAATCGCATCCTTTTGAGCTATTAATCGCATCTTTTATATATTGCAATATATTGTGATATATTTATTATGGTAATAAATGTTGTCTGTGGATGTATGTGTACATACGTATGTATATATAATATATTCTGTTAATATTCTATAATAATTATGTGTGTGTGTATGTATGTATGTGTGTATGTGTTTTGTACATATAGAATATAGTATATATTTTTTATTTGATATACATATATATATTTTAGCTTTACCTAGGTCTTTTTTCTATTTAATTACTTCACTATATATTTATTATTTTCTTTGTTGAAGATGTAGAGCTACTCTATAGATATGCTTCAATAAATCGTTATCTTTTTGAAAGAACCAATCACAGAATTCTTATATTTAGCCAATCAGAAGAGAATGATTAGCATTATTTATGAATATTTAATCTACATTAAATTGATTATTCTGCATTCTTTATCGTGTCTTTTTCTTGTGTATGATTACAAAAAGTGGTAATTGAACTTCCTGTCGTGAAATTTTGGACCAAAATCATACTTGTGAATAACAAATTGCAATTTTGTGCAATTTTATAATCACTCCACTCAGTTCAATTACCATCATAAAATTCAGTTAAAATTCGTGATTCGTTAAAAATTCATACGCGTGACGCGTAAATCTATAAATTAAATATCGTATGTAAAACGTGATGCCGTCCCCTCTGGTTTTGTCAACTAGTATTGCCCCGGATTACTTAATTGCTGAATCAGAGGTTGTTTCAGGCCGATTGGATAATGTACTGATTTGGTTCAATTTGGGGCTGTCTTAGGGGGCATATTCATGTCCAAGATGTCGTCTTTTTCGTCTCCTAAAACAGCCCAAAATGCACCGGTGCAATTATAACTTAATCCAGTCCTCAACCACAGAATGGCTAATATTAAAGTTTAACCCAAAAACACCGTATAGGTTCTAAAAAAACAGGTGTTATTAATAAACTTTATTTTTCATATGATATTCTTATATACAAATTTTATGGAATACTATGACAGTTTGTCTCTCACAGTATGTCACAAAAAAGTAGTCTCCGTCTCCTAACGAACTCAGTTTCGTACTTTACTAAGAACGTATATGAGTGACAGGTGACTGGGAGAGATTATAGTGACAGCTGGTTGTCAATTTTGAGAAATTAACACCGAGAAACACTAGGGCTAGATTTGTTAACGATTTTAAACCTGAACGAGGTATGCGCAAAAAAGATGGCGTTATGGCAGTCATTCACTGAGATTTCTGATAAATTGGTATCACTCCTCTACATAAGATGGAAATACTTGCGCCATCATCACAAACGAAAGCGTTTCGAAAATACATTTTTTGATTTATAGTCGGTTAGTCATCAACTGAGTTTTTGACTTTGGCCTTTGACTTTCGGTGATGGAGGAGAAAGTAGCAAAATTTCCAAACCCACCTCTGGCTCTCACCGAGAGTTTTGCCACTGACAACCCTTTGGCTTCATAAATGAAAGTCTTCTAATGGACCCTTTTAAAAATTATCTTGAATGCGAGCCTAACATGGAAATACAAATGAAATGCCACAAAGTCCATCGAGAAAAAGTGTGATTTCTTTTCTGTTTTGATGCATCCCAGATGATTTTGAGAAGGGTTCATATAAATGACGAGGATCATTAGCCATTCCGAGGCTAAGAGAAAATCTTGGTCGAGTTTGCACCGCAGTGCATTGTTGTACTTTTTTAGGCAAAATACATTCCCCTAAAATAGTCCCATAATGCACTGCAGTGCCAACTCGCCCCAGTTTTTTCTCAACCTTGGAATAGGGCCGTGGTCAGCAGAACTGTTCGCTGGCTCGAAGACTGATTATCATTTGAAGAGCTTCGTTTACATCTGGGTCTAATTCCCCCTAGAAAACAAGACAGCAAAAACGACTTTAGAAGACCATATTAAAGAAAAATTCATTAACATATTGATGAATGATATTTGTGTATCAATAACAATGGGTATTTGGAATTCGAAAATGAGAGATAACGAAGGCATTGAAGAAAAAGAATATCGACAAAGATGTCGACTTACACTTCTTTACCATTATTCTCTGTGCTTAAAAACGTCAGATTTGGGGAAATAAATAGGAGTTCTTCAGATATAAGAAACAACAATAACAACACAAGTTGAAAAAAGCTGCTCATTCCTCTTTTTCTTCGACGGAAGGCTGACGTCCTAAACGACAGCAGCAGGTGAAAATTTGAAATGTCCAGAATAATTCTTAACACCTCCCCTTAAAGTCATGCAAAAAAATACGATCCCCCCTAAGCAAGGCTCGTAGCTTCTTCCAAAAATCGTGCATCCCCCCCATTTTTCTAATAAAAATTTGCCCATCCCCCCTTTTTCCTACCAAAATTTTCCCGATCCCCCATGAATTTCACCTGCCCCCCTCTGCCATACGTTATAACGCAGCCTTATTCACTTGTGTTATTCATATCTAATTGTATCTTACCTGTACAGAACTAAGTAGATGAAGCCGATATAGACTAAGAGTTCTTTCGAATTCTGATACTTTTTCCTGTTAAGTCAAAACGGGAATTTGATTAATAACAATAAAGACCAGACATTGGGAGAGGATAAAAAGTCGCTATAAGATAGTACTTGTAAAAGCAGCGAGACCCAAAGTTTTTCTGTGCTCGTTACCTGGAAACAGCACATCCGGTTAACCGATTTACATTTGCGATACGTTCAAGGTAAAGTACCTATATTTAACGTCGGTAGTTCCTTCAGTTGAAATTCAACTGCTATCAATGGAAGCCGACGGTGCGCACTTTACCCCCTCTCGCCATCACTGTTCTGTCTTAAGAGTATTTAAAAGCTGAAGCTACACGCGATTAGAGAGAAGTCGAAACAGACCTGCAGGTCTTGAGAATCGAACCTTGGGCCTCTAAGTCCGAAAGGCGCGCATAAACCAACTTATCAGCTCCACGTGGAGAGATATTAGTCTTAATAATTACCTTCATTTTCTTTCGTAATCTCTTTACTTCAGATTCAAGGTATTTTTTGTGACTCGTGTCAGACCCCTTTTCAGCATCAGTTTTTTGCCTTGCTAAGCATTGTTGACAATTTTCAACAGTCTCTGTGATCTGAGAGAATAAAGCATCAATACAGACTTTGAATACTTCTTCTCTTTACCCCATGATGATGTACATGTAATGGCGGATCTAGGGGTGTTAGGGAGGGCGCATACCAACCTTTGTGAATTCAAGAAATTTATTCACGATGAAACTAAGTTCCAACTTTATCATCTTAGCGATCAATAATGCCCCCTTTTTAAAATCTTTGATCCGCTTGTGTGTAAGGAGGATAAGATCAGTCGACTCAAGGACTTATGTTGGGAACAAGTACATATGATCAGTCGATTTAAGGAACAAGGAATTAAACAAGGTTCATCGAAAATAAGATTTTTAAAAGAGATAAAGGTCTTAGCATTTTAAACTCTCCTTAAAATCGTTGTAAAATTTTAGGGATACTTGATCAGTACTTGTAAGCGAATGGACCCATCTTAAAATGGTCTTCAATGCGTGGCTAACATGAAAATGCAAAAGAAATGCCACAAATTCCATCGTGAAAAAGTGTGATTTTTTTTGTATTTCCATGTTAGACTAACATCCACGAAACATTTGAGAAAGGTCCACTAATAATAATAATAATAATAATAATAATAATAATAATAATAATAATAATGATAATAATAATAATTTATTGAATTTATATAGCACAAATCTCAATTGGGGTATTTTCATTTGCGCTAATAAATAGATAAAAAGATAAATAGATAAATGTGTTGGAACGTTTGGGGATAAGAGAATTAAAAGCAAAAGGGATAAGTGATCGTCTCCTAAAGAAAGGCCTGATTAGATAATTAGCTGTATCATCTACCTTGATTTCTAATTCTTCATTTTTAATTTTTAGTTCTTCTATTTGCTCCGATAGACTGAATATCTCTTCTTCTGAAGAATCCTGTGCAGAGAAAACCAATAATGAAACAACAACAAACATGCAATAGTCTAAGAAAGGAAAGAAAGCTAATACAGGGATGAGAACGAACGAAGGGGAATTCATTATAGGAATCAAGGGAAATAAAACGAACGGCAGAAAGAAAGCCAGAAAAATGATAAGTAGAGAAAGGTAAAAATAAAATAAAATAAAATGATAAAATAAGATAAAATAAAATAAAATAAAATAAAATAAAATGAAATGAAATGAAATGAAATGAAATGAAATAAAATAAATCAAATTAAATGAAACTATGAAATGAAATAAAATGATTAAATTAAGCTAAATTGATTTTTTTTAAAATAAAAAAGAATGACACGACATTGGAAGACAAAAAAGTGAGTATTTATTCTCAAGAGCAAGAAATCAGAGGTTGAAGCAGAATAATGAATACTGAAAGGTTGAAAAATGCCTTGGAGTACTAATTGTAGAGCTAATTATTGCATCTGAGGCAAGAGGGATAATGAATAATGGAAAATGGAAAAGAATGTTGAAAACAAAAAACGAAAACAAAAACAAACAAAAGGTATGTTTTGAGATAGTAATCGAATTGTTTTGCAGACACCCCCGAAAGATGAAGGGAAAGTAGTGAAAACTCCTTCCTGTCCCCTCCTCCTTCGCTTCTTTTTTGCTTGATTTCAGTTCTCGCTCGTTCCAAATTTCAAAGTTCCCCCAAAACTCCGTTCGGCTGTAAGAACGCCTGCTTTGTAGGCTAATTTATCCTACGACTTTCAAACCGTCAATTCTCAATATCTGTATGGGGAAACACAAACCAACATATACCTTAAGTTGTTGATATACTTGTAGTGGTATAGACGACTCTTCTATCAAATCGTTATGGTTAATCTCTCTGCTTATTTGTTCCTGTCAACGAAAAGACATCTTTTTAAGCATTCCTCCTGGCTAATAGCACATGGTGGTAAGTGTTTGAGCAACATTTTAAGCAGATAGTGAGATTCAGGAAACGTTTTATTGAGACAAAGCTTTAGGGTGGCCATAAACCTGTTTCCTTTCTTTAAGTAATATAGTTACTTTTCTAAATGTTTGCTAATTATAGATAGATAAGGCCTTTTATCAAGTTATTGAAAGGCAGCAAACGGGATTTTCTCTCGACTGCCAATTAACTCCATGTTTAATAGCGTATTTTTCAAGTAGTAATCAAGCAGGAGCTTTCTTAGATTAACCGTTTTTGAAATTTTCTTTCGAGTGCTCTCAAAATTGGATTTCAACTCGCATATGGTTTCAGGGAATTTAATAAGGAGTTGCAATATAATTTACTGATTGTTTTAAAACGAACTCTTATCAAATGGCAAAATAGAGAAAGGCCGTGACGATGCTACTTATAGGCTTCTTTTTCCATTGGTCAATAGAGTGCCGGGTCTCACCTTTAGCTGTTGCTTGAGAGATTGGTTTTGTCTTTTTAACATCGAGATTTCATCATTGAGTGATGATAAGATATCTGGACTTGGTACTAAGAAGATAGAATAAGAACAATTGCAACGGCAGAAATGCAACAGCATGAACAAACGAATGAATAAATGGATGGATGGATGAACGGATGGATGGATGAACGGATGGATGGATAAATAAATGATAGAAAGAATGAATCATGAATGAACAAAGGGACAAACACAGAAATGATTGAACGAATATCGAATAAAAAGAGGAAAGGAGAAAAAACAAAAAAAAACAACAAAAAACAGACTGATGAACAAAGGCCGGAGCGCACTGAAAAATACAAACGGAGTTGTTTTTTTTTTTTTTCTACAAACGAAGTGATCTATATTTCAATAAAATGTATCCAACTAGCAATTAACAATGATAATAGAGATTTCCAACCTTTTTGCGGTGTTTTATCGGAGCTATTGATCTCATCAACTCCTATGGGAAAAAAATGGAAAGTAGTGCACAGTTCATCTTTTGTTTGCGTTGCTCCTAGTTGCATCTAGATCATGGCGCCGTTTAAAAAAACCGCGGGCTTGATAATCATCTACAGTAGAATAGAAATATGCCCAATTTCCAGCCGTGGTGGTTTCGCTGCGTCCGTAATCCTATCCCCCTGCGGATGTGGGTTGGGGTGGGGGTGGGGGTGGGGGGATGCTTGGAAACAAACGAACAAACGACAACCTCAAGGCTCGTTAAACCGAGTCTAATATAGACACTGTCTGAGTTGACCGCGTTCCCCGAAAGGAATCATGGTTCAACTATTTTTGGTAAGCCTTTTCCGAGCAGGGACATAAACGATGCAATGTATATTTCTCTTATCGATTGATTCTCTTGGCAGAATAATAGAAAATGCTAATCAAAATATAGATTAGTTAGTTGACCTTGACTTCGTTTTTGAAGGTCAACTCAGCTGGCTTGCCCAGTTTAGAAGCGCAGAGAAACTAGCTAGATTAGAAACGTAACTACGTCATCGGTATATTCGCTAACTCACCAGGGAGGTCTAAGTCATCGAGTTCGTCATCACTTAGTGAATTACGATTGTTTTCTTCTTTAGCCTTGAATGCAAATAAAAAATTAAACGATAAGGTTTTTGATGTTTAATATCGATGGTTTGTAAACTTCCTTTTCTGGTGCAAAGCATCAAAAAAAAAAAAAAAAAAAACCTGATACGATTCCAATTGCATTTTTAAAGTCTCAATTTCTCTCTGAAAGAAGAGGAATGTTACATTGGGATAACAGACCTTTCCTAATTCGCTCGAGTTTGGACTTGAATAATAAAAGAATCAAGTTCAGTCTCGACTCCTAACCATTGTTTCGTGATCATCCAAGCGAATTCGGGAAAGTTCCATTCATCCACAATGATGATTAGTAGACCTCTTTACCTTGGGCGTAATGTTTTCCCATTTCAGACCACATGTCATTCCCAAGAGTATCATTTCTTTGTTCAACAGTTACACATGAGAAGACACATGAATATGGAGACTCAAACAAAGAATTTAATTTCCAAGAGAATGACACTTGGTCTGAAATGAGAAAAACATTACAGTGTACGCCCAAGGTAAAGAGGTCTCTTATTCAATGTGTTTGGAGAACAAAGCAATATGCACTCGCGTGTGTATAGTGGAACATTTACCTCTGCATTCTGTTTCGCCCTTGTCTCCGTTACCAATTCTATTTTTAATTTCGATATCTAAAAGTTGAAAGGATGCTACTGATCAGTGAATGAAAGAAGATCAGCGAAGAGGCCAGACAGTCGGTCGGTCAGACGAACGGACGGACAGACAGACAGACAGTCGCACATAAATCAAGGAAACAAACTGAAATCATAATAACGAACCTGGGTTTCTAGTTCCTCTATTCTTCTTTCTTTCTTTTCTATGAGATCGTCATTATCCATGGAACCCTAAATGGTACAAAGTATAAACTACATTAACATCAACAACAGCACTGGAAAGGCGTTTTTCAATCTACACTCAGCTAGTCCAATCTACGTTGCATACAGCGTTTGCAGTTAGCATTGCTTTACAATTTTCCTGCACGTACAGAGTTAATTCGTGGACAATTAGCAACTCTTCGCCAAGAAAATTCTATACGAAGTATTAAAAAAATTATAATCTTATATTTTTTTAGTGGCTTTATGCTTCGTTTGCAATAGACGTCATAGCCGCCATGTTAGAAGAATTTGACAAAAGATTTTTCAATGAATTATTTTGTTTTATCTTCCAACATGGCGGACATCCCTTTTGTTGTTGTGCTCTCTTGGGATTGATTGCTAACCAAGAATATACTCACGTTTATATGAATTATATCTGGAGGCAAAGGTTTTTTCTTGACAGAGTTTAGCTCGTCTTCTGTGATTCGTAGCTGAAAGGCAAATCAAGCCGGGTCAGACCCTGACACAAACGAGCACAAGACAAAGCTACCAGATGCAAATTCCTTTATAGAAATCCCAGCAAATATTTATGTTTTTATAAATGAATCTAATCAAGTATTAAACAAACAAAACACCTAGACATTGTCTGCTGTCTAACAGAATTTTGTAATTATCATAGTTTACAAGACTTTACTAGTCGGAAATTACGATAATAAAATACTCAAATTTCTTTACTAACGAGGAACGAATTTTATTGGACACACTGGGTTGGACAGAATTCCTAGATTTGAAAGTATAAAACCTATTAATAATATCATTGTTAAAACTCCAAAGAAATAATAATAATAATAAAATAAAATAAAGAATTAGAGTCCATATTTGTGTACTAATATGCCTTGAAAAAAAGTGCAGGAAATCATTTAAAAAATTCATCACTGTATTCTTATTTTAATTTTCGCCCCCGTTCATTCCTAATACTTCTTAGTTTGTCTAACATTTAGTTGTAGGGTCAATTGAGTGGCCGAGAGATCCAATATTTATACAAGCAAGTCATGGATGCTCGCCAAAGTACACTAGCGACCGACAAATCAAAGACTCTATGTAATGAAGGATTTAAAACCTCAAAACGATTACGAAATACACCATCCAAAAATATCATTATTAGATTGGACATCGGAGTTGTTAATCTAAATCAGTCAAGTTGCTTAAATTTGTCACGAACGGTTATAAGATTTCTAAGTGGAGAAGAAAAAGGTGTGGACGACAACCAAAGTTTACTACGCATGCGCTAGTTTTGTATGACGTCAGAGCATAAGGAGATGTGATATTAAAACCAAATATTGTACCTCAACATGGCTTGAGCATGTTAAAGTTCTTTGAAGTAAATCAATCAGGACACTTGACACTTGACTGTGATTGACTGACACGTCACCTGATCACTGACCGTCATATTGGATTGTAAGAGTGGACTCTTATGTCGACTCCCGGCTTTGAACCATAATCGTTAGAGCTAATGGCCCTAACAAACGCTCCAACATTTGACCCGATATTTGTTGAGCCAAATGCTAGGCCCTGCCTAAACGAGGAAACATGTTTTCTTAAATGTTTCCAAAAGGTGGCAAAACTGTTAGGGAACATCGGGAAACATGTTTACTCAATATCGGTTAGCGCATGCGCACTTTCAGGATAGAGCTAGCGTTGCTAAGTAACGGACTTTTAGCATGTTGACTTTCGTGACTAAACGAGGAAACATTTGGAAACATTGTTTCCATGCGTCTTAGAAGTATGAAATGTTTCTGCCGCACAGCAGAAACATTTTTGCGTCTTGGAAGCAAAATTTGTTGCACGTAGCAATGTTTCGCATGTAGCTAAACTTGGAAACATCGGGGAACATGCGCGCGGGAAAACATGTTTCTAGAAACTTGTTTCCTCGTTTAGCCAGGTCCTTAGGACTGTTTGTCTTGGTCTGTCAACAATGTTGGGTCCGAATGTCGTTTAAATGTTGGGCCATTTGTCGGGGCCTTAAATACTTTTTTTAGGCGCTCAGACAAATTTGAGCTTTTCCCCCAGAATTCTGCAACTCGCACAACTTCAAGCAATCGAGGTTTTTGGTTTCCATCATTCAAAACGTTCCCGACTGCGTTTGACTAACACGTGATCGTGACCGCCATATTGGTTTGTAAGTAGTACTAGACGAGCAGAAATAGTCCCCTTCACAGTTTAAATAAAGGTAGCCGTGCCTTTACATCGAAGCGAGACGAACGGTGAACATGCAATGATAGAGACAGGTGAATAATTGATGAAGTTGTTAAAAAAAGGTCTCTATCATTGCAAGCTAACCGTTCGTCTCGCTTTCGATGCAAAGGCACGGCTACCTTTCAAGATCATCACATGCGTTTTCTTACATATCATACTATTTTAACAATATCAAAATACTGTTTTGTGTGCGTTCTTACTCTTTCGATTGTTTTCTGATGTTGTACCCTCAACTTGGTGAGTTCCTGGTTCAGCATTTCATTTTCTTCCTCGAGCTCCTGCGATAGAAAACAGAATGCCGTAAGTTAGAAAACTGTAATAGGTCATTGCGCATACATGCACGTTAATAAAGTAATTGCATTGTAATGATAGAAGGGTAAATTTTCCACCACGAAAAGATGAAAAAACTTACTGACGTTTCGGACGCTAGTCCTTCGTCGGAGGACTAAGTTTTTTCATCTTTTCACGGTGTATAATTTATTCTTTTATCATTACTGTTTCATTAGAAACACCGACGCAGCTCACACTAGTTTTTAGCTAGTTATTTCTTCTAATTCAGTGTATTGTATTGGGGTGGTAGAACCAAAACATATGAAACTTAGGGTCTGTGCGGCTCCAAAAATCCATATTCATAATATTCAAAAACGATTAAACACTTTCAGTTTTTAGTGTAGGAAAATCGTGTGCTGTGTTTTGTGTAACAACTATTTAGATTTAGCGGATTTCAACACTGACTTACCTTGATATCAATTGTCAAATCTCTCTGCATTGTAAGCGATGACATCGTAGTTGAGGCTTTGGAGGAGAATGAGTCCTGCAAGGGATCATAAATGGGTAAATCTGTTGATGATGAAACGTAATCAGAACAAAAGCTAACGGGTTATCGCGACGGTCGCCAACCAAAAGGGACAAGAAGCCAAACAAATGAATTTACCTGAAGTGATACTCGTTCGCTGCCTACAGAGCTGACCATTTTCTACGAAAAAATAATAATTCATACTTGTCATATTCGTGTAAATTTAAAAACTACATATTCCAGCTTATCTTACGGTCAGGGATGCCGTTTCATTGTGTTTAGACGTGAGTGAAGAATGCGGCACAAGCCAATTGCACGGGATTACTGAAGATCATTGACATACAGTGAGAACTCTATAAACGTTTCTTCCCCTGCATAAATACTGTAAATCAAACCTGTATTCAATGGACAACCATTATTAAGCAGACACCAGGCAAGGTCCTGAAGGTGTCAGCCGCTTAGTACCATACTGTTTACTGAGACGCCGCCAAGGCTGAGCGCAGGCAAATACAACTTCATGTTTTGCGCACTGCACGTGTGAATATCCAGATAAAATCTGTTCTATACCGGGGCTACATGCGTCTAGTAAAACCAGTCAAAATCTTTCGTTTTTTCTTTGTTTGAGTTGCAACCATATTTGCGTATGATTTTAGTTATCGGAAGCAAAAACTAATACTGATGAGGATGACACGTAGTCCGTTATGAGAAAACATAAAGCAATAGGGGCCAAAAAGTGGCCAAGAACTGTGATAGTGCTAAAAACGGCATGTTGAAACCTCAGGGATAGATCTAAGGGAGGGGTGCAAGGGGAGTGCACACCTCCCCCCTAGATGAGCTAATATCTACTGCATTATTGGTGTTTGAGTTTGTAAGCAAAGCGTGCACCTCGTCCTAACCCCCCCTCAGAAAAAATCCTGCATCTCCCTTGCAATCTTTCGATTTGATCACTTACCGGGGATATGTTTCTGCTGTTATTATGATTTGTCATTACTGAAGTGTCATCTTCCTCTTCATGGCTGTTAAACGCCAAGACCAGCTCACCCTGGTGATATCGAACACAAAAATATTGAAATAAGAGGCGTAAAGACACGGAATCACGGTGCATATGTTTCAAAAAACATGATGTTGCACCGTGTGTCCATCCACATTTGCCGCAGTGGGTGAGTACAACATTTCACGCATAGTTGCAGAAGTAAAATCAAGATATATTTTGAAACGACGCGTAAGTTGAATAGCTAAAAGAAGACATACGTTTGAGATTTCCTCCTTTTCTTCTTCTTTTTCCTCTTCATTATCATCTCCTATAAATAAAAGTAAATTAATAAATGACCAAAACTCGCTGAATTTTGAACTACGATTTCTTTTGTTGATTCTAATGGTCGAAGTTTGTGCATCGAAACAATCTGGCACCTTTTATAATGAAAACTATTCAGTACATAGATTATTGTCTTGAATAATTTTCCAACAAATTCATCAATACCAAATTAGCCGAAACCTCAGGATAGATTACTTTACCTGCGTCCCATGTGGCCACTGTCGGAGCGTTTCTAATAGCAGTAATGATATCCTTATAACCAATGATTCGGGCATAGTCTTCAGCTAAAGTGAAATAATAAGGATTGTGCTATTGATGGGTTGCAAGCATTCTCAAGAGAGTTAAAAGACATAAACATGGCGGCCATCTTAGAGCAGTTAACAATGGATGCTAATGAGAAATCTTTTGTTAAATGACACCAACATGGCCACGATGACGTAACGTGCAATCGAAAACATTAACATGTCACCTAAAACCAAATAGTTACCTCTGGGTTCAAACTAATATACGTGTCTGTAATAACGGCCCTTCGGGGTCTGTCCTTATAATAAGACGACACAAATGTCACTGCCTGCGTGTGTCCGCTAAGGCCCCGTCCACACTATGCCGGATAAATTTGAATGTCCGAATTTTTATTTATTCGGTTACCGTAGGAATACCGTCCACACTAGTCCGGGCGAATCCTGAACAATTCTTCACCAAAAACGAATTTTTTCGAATACGGTCTCCAGAGTTGAACAATTCGAAAACGCCGGCTAGCCGTATTAGTGTGGACAAAGAACATTTCGTATCCGATATTTTTCGAATACGATGACGTCATGATTGTCATGGGAACATGGCGGGAAGGCTAAAAATTCACCGTGGGCTCAATTTCAGCTTCGATGCGCATGCTCAGATGTGCAATGAAGCGTTTTTGCCGCCTCTGATTGGACTATTGTGGACGCGAAACATTTTATCCGTTTTCATGTGTGGACGGAAAACTTTTTTTCGGTTTTGGTGTGAAAGTTGAGGATTCAAAATTATCCGGCATAGTTTGGACGGGGCTTAAATCGAGGTTCGTTTTACAGTAARTATACTGTAGTATCTTATAAGGGAAAAAGGTTTTTGGAAAAAAGGTTTGGATATGACATTAGTAATACAGCAAAAGTTCTTTAAATGAATGAAGTCTGAGTTTTTTTTGTTTTTTTTTTTTTGCTTTTTGCCATTCAGTAATAGTCATGTGATTATTTCCTGCAAATGGTCCATTCATAATCATACTACAATGTTCCCACCTGTGTGGCCATTGCTATCCTGTAGATTGGAATTGGCTCCTCTTTTCAGCAGCAGGTCTACACTCTTTTCATGGCCAAGAAGGCTGGCATACATCAAGGCAGTCCTAATATAGAGAAAGCACCAAAGAAAGTTTATTATGCATGTACATTACTTACTTCCTAAGGAGCTCCAAATTATTTATAACACAACTAATAAAGAACGTGTGCAGTGATTGGCTAACAATATTGTCCTCATCTAAGAAAATATCGTGATGACTGTGTGTCAAGATAAATGTCATGTGTTGTGAAGGGATTGCATAGCGAGACAAACGTTTCAGAAGATCACTTTTAAAATTAAGCCTGCCCATAAATTGAGAAACTAAGGGAAATTTACTTTTTGGAGTTGTCTGTTATGTTGACTTTTGCTCCTTTGTCCAGCAAGAGTTTCACCACATCTTCCTTGCCACTTTGTATTCCCATAAGCAAAGGTGTTCTGCCATCCTACAATGATGAAAAAACTGGATTTGACTTAAAGCTGTGATGCTTTAATGATCTATCATTCTTGTTTCATTCCTTTTACTCCTCACATATTCCTTCCTTCCTTTTTATACCTTCTTTTCTTTCATTATTCTTTTCTTCCATCTTCCATCTCTTACTCCTTCTCTTTCATCTCTATTCTTTGCTTTTTTTCATTCTACCATTTGCTTCTTTCTTTCTTTTTCTTTCTTTTTTGTTTGTTTGTTTGTTTCTTCCTTTCTTCCTTCCTTCCTTCTTTCCCTCTCTTCCCTTTTCCATTCTCCTTTATAAAAGTTTCAACAACCAAGCAAGCAAAATATTGACAAATTATTCATTGTAATTACCTTATCTCTAACATCAATATATTTATCATTCTCAAGCAGACGATTTACACAGTCATAATGGCCCTTGGCAGCTGAAATAGCAATATAGTAAAACATCTTTATCACACAAATATGTAAGTAGAATTAACAATGATTTGGCAAATCACTTTAATGATATCTATTATCTAGCTTGGATAATACGCACACTCTGATTGATCAAGAACTGTGCTTTATTAGTAAACAAAGCACAGCTCTTTTACTTGGTTTAATAGTAAAGCACTAAGTGCTGACCGGCTCACTTAAGTAGTGTTAGAAGCAATCACTTCTCGATCTTTACACTTCTTCCATGCTTACTTCACTTCTTGTGTGCTTTATTACTGAATGAAGGATGCCAAGCTGTTTTATTATTTAATCAAAGGCCAACTCACTTCCACCCTGATGGAACCACAGAGTTCCAATGGTTTTCATGGCCATACCTGCATAATGTAAGGCTGTTTTCTTGTGATAATCTTGAAAGCCAATGGTGTCACTGTTGTACTCCAGGATCTTCTCTATGCATTCTACTGATCCCTGTTTAGCAGCCAAACCCAAGGCAATACAACCTAGATGTACATGCCATTCCATACCCATGTTACATTATTTGATGTACAGTATATATAATTAATGCATGCTAAAATCAATTATTGTACAAAAACATTAATAAGTCTCTTCTGATGGCTAAGAGTGGCATACACTGTATATGTAGCAGAGCCTCTCTCACTCATGTAATTTTTTGTTGAAAGTTTTTAAGGAAACCTAAGACCATGATTCACTGGAGTGACAGATGCTCTACCCCCTTTTAGTTCGAAATCTGATATAGGTTTGGAATGCATTTTTTAATACCTTTTTTGTCCAAAATATTATAATCCCAGGATGCAGGAAATAGCATTTTTCTGAAAAACTTAATTTAAGAATTTAAGAGCATGCCCCAAGACATCCACTACAGGGGCGGATCCAGGAACTTGTTCAGGGAGGGGTGCACTGCACAAAGTTAACCCAGGGAGGGGTGCACCCCTTAGAATCAAAGGGAAAAAATGTTATTTTGCATTGGTTATCTTGGAAGTAGGGGCACAGAGTTGAACCAGGGAGGGGTGCGCACCCCCTGCACCCCTCACTTGGATCCACCACTGCACTGGTTTCACTTTGCCTAGTCAGCAGCGATGTTTGTCTAACATGGTATTTATCTGGGTCCCCTTTTCCTCAGGTTCTGGAATCTGCCCCTGTCTCTGGACTGGAACTTACAGTACCATAACAATGACTGGCTTACAACAGACAAAAATACACATTTCATATACTCAGCAATCCCTATACATGTCCGTACTTGCACCAAGAGGGGCTTGCTGACTCACTGGGAGACCCGGGGGGGGGGGGGGGGTACTCCCCTACATTTGCTATACTGGTATGTGCCGCCAAACAGGGTATGGTTTTCAGCGATTCTACTCTGGAACAGGGTA